TAGCCTCTAGACGCCATGCGCGTCTACGCCAATGCGCGTGTGCGCGCCCTTCTTGAATGCGCCCTTTCCTGCGCCCGAACGTCGTATGCCTATGGACCATCTTCTCGTGTGCCTTCACGCACCTCCATGCGCGACCTCGCATACGAGCTCGTTCCCGCCTTTTAGGCCATGCTTGCATCGTTTTGGCCCTATTTCCATCCTCCTCGAGTCCTCTTGGCTCTCGGCCCTTCTTGTCACAGGGGTCCGGAACCCACTTCCGTATCATTCCCCTCCTCTTCGAGACTTTCCTTGTCCTCAAGGATTCATCCTCGACCGTCCAAACATCGGGAACTCTTTCTTCGACCATGCGCACATCCCACTCACGGTCCTCGTCGACTTGTACCAACACCTCGCTATCATCAACAACCACCCCTTCATCCGCACTGTACTGCGCGTGCGTCACCTCATCATAGCCTCCATCACCCACGACCAAGATCGCCTCCATGACCTCGACTACCTCGGCTCCTTCGGCCTCGACGTGTTGCGCGTGCCGTTCCTGCACGCACGTTTTGCTCCAATCACCTGAACTCACCATGGTGTACTCGACATCGTTCTCCTGCTTGTAGGACTTACTCTCTTGGTTCTTCTCGTCCGTGAACTCGTCGGTGGATAACGGTTCCTCGCACTCGACTTGGTCGACCTCACACTCGACCGCCTTGTCTTTAACTTAGTCCGATAGATCGGATGTAAACAAGGGCTCTCCTTCAATGACCTCCTCCATGATCTTGAGTTGTCTTTCAAACTCCTCCTTTTGCTCGTAGATCTCCTCCAAATATTCTTGCTCCCAAGGGGTTAATTCCCTCTCCAAATTTTCAAGGTATTCGAGATCCTCCCAATCCAACTCAACTAATGGTGGGTAAGACATTCTTTTTTTTTTTACTCTAAAAATTCGAACAAAATTCGAACCAAAAAATAAAAAATAAAACAAGAGAAATTCAGCCCCTCAACAAAAGGTAATAACTGAAAAAATAAACAAAACAAAGGACTAACAAGATGACACTTTTTTTTAAGACACGAAAAATTGAAAAATTCAAATAGAAAATTAGAAAATTTCGAACCAAAAAAAGAACAAAAATTCGGCCCCTCAGCAAAAGGCAAACTGAAAAAAAAAAGATAGGATAGATAATCACACGATCAGCACATCTCAATGAAAGCACCAATGATGATGGATCGTGTTGTTATCTATACGTGGGTTGTGAATAAACGCGCACTAGGGCCTTCGTTTATCCACGATAGGTGTATCTAACAGACGCACTATCGGCCTTCTCCTAGACACTGTGACTTCAAGACGCTCTAATGGCCTTCTCTCCGATACTGTATGTAAACACGCACTAACGGCCTTGTTTAAACATACGTAAGAACATAAGTTCCCCTCTCAATTGGCTCACCAATTCAATACTCCATTCAACATGTTTATTAATGAAGAGGTACATGGGTATTTATAGATGCCAACTACCTCTAATGCTAATCTTGGAAACTATTAAAACAATAAAATATTAAATCCTAAGGCAAGTAAACCTACTACCATAAAATCCTAAATCTGGTAGATCTCCTAATTACTTGTCTTGCACTCCAAACAATTCTAGAAGCTCCAAGTCTTGCGCCCAAGTACTCGCACGCCGCCTCACTCACGCCGCCTCCGCGTCCGCCGACTTGCGCATTGCCTACTCCTTGGGCTGCTAGGTGCCGCGCGCCTTGCCTTGCACGCGCGCGCGCACCGCTCCGCTCGCCTAGTCCTTTGATGACTAGGTCTCGCGCGCCTGCTGCGCCACTCCTATTCCTTGTAGGACAATACTTCGA